CCATAACGTTGTAGATGGCACTGTTGGGGGGTGTCATAACGTGGTAGAGGACACTGTATGGTGGTGTCAGACCGATATAGAAGACAGTTTATGGGGTCATGTCGGACCGTTGTAGAAGACAGTTTATGGGGTCATGTCGGACCGTTGTAGAGACAGTTTATGGGGTCATGTCGGACCGTTGTAGCAGACAATGTTGTGACAGTTGTTGTGACAGTTTACGGAGTCTGCTGGACCCTTGTAGAGCTAAGTTAACAAACCGTTATTTATAATCATGAGAAATTAGCTCAAGTTAATGTCAGAATTCATTAAGCAAAACGAATAAAACATGACCAAAATTGTAATATTATAAGCTTTTAGCTTCGAGATCATTGAAAGGAAATGTCACTCACCGCCTCACATTTATGATAATAGCCCTAAATATTGCTGTGTCCATAGCAAAAAAGCACCTAATAGAGTAGTAAACTAGAAGCACTGTAAGTAATGAATTCAGCATAAATGTCACCACTATAGTGAAACTTTCTCCTCCTTCAGTTTCTGTTCTGAATCTCTCTCTCCCTCTGGCTGATTTCTAGTTCCTTGAATCCAACCCCCATCGATCGCTTCTATACTTCCATTCAACCCATCGTCCACAAAATCACCAACCCGTTTCACTTTCCCCTTCGGCTCAACTGGGTACTTCCCAGAAAAGCAAGCATAACAGTAGTTAGGGGAATCACTTCCCAACAACTTCCTCAAGCTGTCGATTGGCAGAAATGCGAGGGAATCCGACCCAATAAACTCCCTAATTTCCTCCACACTCATCCTATTTGAAATCAACTCCTCAGAACTAGGCGTGTCGACACCATAATAACAAGAAGCAATAATTGGTGGGCTAGCAATCCTCATGTGAACCTCCTTAGCCCCTGCTTCTTTGATCAACCTAACAATTTTCGAAGAGGTGGTTCCTCTCACAATTGAGTCATCAACAACCACAACCCTTTTGCCTTCCAACACTGCTCGAACCGGTGAGAGCTTGAGCTTCACTCCAAAGTCCCTAATCTTCTGTGATGGCTCAATGAAAGTCCTACCCACATAGTGAGACCTAATCAAGCCCTGCTGAAATGGGACCCCTGCTTGGGCAGCATAACCTAAAGCAGCTACAACCCCTGAATCAGGCACAGCTATCACAACATCACAATCAACCGGTGCCTCCATGGCGAGAATTCTGCCAAATGTGCGGCGAGACTCATACACAGACCTCCCAAAAACCACTGAATTGGGTAAAGCAAAGTATATGTGTTCAAATATGCAAGCTTTGGGTTCAGGGTGAGGCATTAAACAGAGTGATTGAACACCATCTTTGTCCACCACAAGTACTTCACCTGGATAGACCTCTCTCTCATATGTAGCCTCAATTAGATCCAAAGCACAAGTCTCAGAAGCAAACACAACAGCACCATTGCTCCTCCTACCCATCACCAATGGTCGAAACCCATACGGATCTCGAACTGCAACCAATTTATCTTCAGTCAAAAACACCATCGAATAAGCCCCTTCAAGCTTCTCACAAGCCTCAACAATCCTCAAAAAGAAGGGTCTCATTTTGGATATCGCGATTAAGTGAAGAACCACCTCTGTATCAGAACTAGTATTGAAAATTGACCCATTATCTTCAAGCATAGCACGAAGAAATTGGTAATTCACCAAATTCCCATTGTGGGCAACACCAACAGACCCAAATCGATAACCAGCGACGAAAGGTTGAACTTTTTTGAGCATTGAAGACCCAGCAGTGGAGTAGCGAACAGGGCCAATTGCGATGTCGCCAGGAAGCTGATCGAGCTTCGATTCGTGGAAGACGTCGGAGACGAGGCCCACTCCGGTGATCGAGTGGAGGACGTTGTCGTGGACGGCAACGATTCCGGCGCCTTCTTGGCCGCGGTATTGGAGAGCGTGGAGAGCGAGGTAGCAGAGACGAGACGATTCTGGGTCGTCGGAGATTCCCACAACTCCGCAACTCCGCACTTTGAATGCTGAAGACCCAGCAGAGACGAGACGAACTGACAATTATGTATGTATATTTATGTATTGATAGAGATGACAACGGAATAGGTTGAGGTCCGGCGGACGGCTAAGGTGAGGTTGCCGCCCGCCGGTGAAGCGAAAATATTAGGTTCTAAACCTGCTCTGATACCATGTAAGAATTTATGTAATTTATGTATTATTGATTTATTGATAGATACATGATTTTGTTACAATTGATTGATTATATAGATGTAGGTTAGGTGGTGGTAGGTGAGGAGTAGGTGAGTGTAGTAGGTGAGTGTGTGGTAGGTGATGGTAAGTGTGTGGTAGGTGATGGTAAATTCTAACACAAGATGCTACATTAAATTGGCATAGTTATTAGTTAGGATGGTATTCAATGAGTGAGGGCAAGTGCCAATATCCTGACTGGCTTTTTGGTCAGTTTTTGTGTAAAGCAGCAATTATGGGAAAAAAATGGCATTTCCCACATAGATCCCCAACAAGCTTAATAGACACCATTTTATATATATATATATATATATATATAACTGGGAACCGTGTCCTAGGCACGGACCTTTGGACCCACCCCAAGAGTGTAAACCCAAGGATCAAGCGACACCCCTAATCACATGATCCGGGCAAACAGGAGGAGCCGACAAGAGACTCAGCACTCTTATATAAGAGTGGGGCCTGACAGAAGACCAATGGTGATCCTTGCAGCAAGACTTGGGTCATCAAACATGAGTTCCTTTGGAAAAAAAAGTTTAATTTTTTGAGCCAACTCAAGCTTGAGCTTTGCTAAAACTTGACGAACTGAGTTCGATTTTGGCTCGTTTGGCTCAACTAGAGCTCGAGCAAAGCTTGAACACATTGCAAAATGATCTAGCTGAGCTTGAACAATGTAATACTCAACTTGGCTCAGCTCATTTGCAGCCCTACCAACAAAGAAGCGGAAACTGCTTAAAGATGACTTGAAGAAATAGAATAAGTAGGTGTTCAGGAAGGTGCAAGCTAAGGTGGCCAGTTATTGGAACAAACTAAGCTATTAGATGAGAATAAGGGGGTGTTAGTCTTATATATGAAGAGTTGATGGACATAGTTGCAAAAGAAGAAGCAGAGAGGCTAATGATTTTCAAAGAGGGGAGTTGGAGACAAAAATCTAGGACGATATATATATATATATATGAAAGGGATACGAAGCAAAAGAATAAATGGAGAGGCTTGTGATTTCAGAAGAGGGGAGTCGAAGACAAAAATCTAGGATGATACTGTTGGCATATTATAATCACCGAAAAAAAATCTAGGACGATATATATATATATATATGAAAGGGATACGAAGCAAAAGAATAAATGGAGAGGCTTGTGATTTCAGAAGAGGGGAGTCGAAGACAAAAATCTAGGATGATACATACATACATACATATGCATATATATATATATATATATTAAGGGGATAGGAACACTTCGTGTTTTTGAGAAGGAAAAGAAAAAGAAAAAAAAAGGAAAACAGATTTTGAAAAATCAACCAAACAATTTTCCCATGGGATGGCAAATACTCATAGCAGCTCCAATCACATTGGGAGCTTAATCATTGATGAGAGGAGATCACTTGGGAGGAGGAAATTTCTTTGGCAAATGTAGATTTCTGTGAACCCCTTAAGAGACATGGATTAGGAGACCTTTGCTTGAAGCTGTGGAGTTAGCTTAAGCACGTCAATTTTTGAAGAAGTTTTGGGGGGTCTTTAAGCAGCAGTCTCAATGGTGAGAAAATGGCAAATCTGGATGGGTTCACTATTGCATTCTTCAGTTCCATCATTATTCGATGTCATGCGACAAGATGTTAAGGATGCTATGCAGAACTTGTTTGAAACCAGGGAGTAAAGGCAGACGTGGGCCGGGCCAGGGTTGCACTCAAAAGAAAATATGCTGTTGAAATCAATAAATATCTCAACTTATGGGCTTTCGAACCTTAACTCCTCCAATGAGAAAGACTAACAATCCTACTGCTCCATCAATCATCTGTACTTCAAAACCCAGGGCTCATGAAACTTCTGTGTAGAGATTACACTAATCAAGACTAGTCTCGAGAGAGATACGACTCCATTATCTATTACCCCACATTGTTGCTTTTCACATCAAGTAACACATTCTAGTTTCAAAGCTGAAAAATATTTTTAATTCATCTATGAGACCCATACAACCTCAAGGACAGTAAGAGATACAGAAATAGTTTTTTATTTTTTATTTTTTTGGGTAAGTCAAAACTGGCAAAACACCAGAAACAAAAATAATGATCTGCATATAGAGGGTCAGTAAAAGGAAAGTAGAATAATCTCTCAATTAAACATCCTTTACCTTACACATTTAGCTTCCCTTCTCTTTTTCCTGTTGCTATTTTTTTTTTTTTTTTAATTCAAAAAATATCTTTGAAAAATCATTAAAATTTTGAGCATTCAGCTTTCACCTTCCTTGTCTATTTAAAACCTCATGGAAAACCTTTTTTCTTGTGAAATTCTTCAGTTTTCCCTCAACAAAACTGTGTTTGTCTTTCAGACAGAACAATTAACATAAAACACAGTATAGACACATGAATTGAAATGCTTAAAAGGGCTAAATATGAGGAAAAATAGAATCTCTAATTCTTTCCTTCAACGTGTGGTGCCTAAAATAAAATTTAAAGAATGAATAAATGGGAATTCCACTTAAATAGGTGATCATGAAGAAACATAAGCAATTTTTTTTTTTTTTTTCCTTTTTTTTTGGGAACCAAGAAACATAAGCAATTGATCATGAAGAAACATAAGCACTTAACATTTCATCATAAACCAACAACTTACCGCGTCCTCAGGTAAAAGAATACGTTCATTAGCCAAGTATTCACTACTTGTTTCAACAGGAACCATTCTACCTGCTCCAATGCCAGTCTTTTCCTCATTGCTATAGGTTTGAAATCTGTATTTTGGAAGGATACTGAGTTCTGCTTCTGATGCACCTTCCTGCATTTTCACATGAGAATTAACATCAGCAGAAAACTATTGAACAATGACAATCCACAATCTACTTTAGATATTGTGTCTGTCTTGTTAATTGTTCTTTGTTACCTGGCCCGCAACAGCATAAAGAACTGCAATAATGCAAGGCAAGCAGCAACAAAGAGCGATACCAATCAAACATGCCAAAACAACGCAAAAGACGGCAAAAAACACATCAAATGCTAGAAAAACCACGGCCAACCTGCAACATTCAGAATAAGAGATCACTGGAGTCTTCCTCTGCAACTGATAGTTGCATGCTTTCACAACAAATATAGACTTAAAACGAGGCAAACCATGGTTTATGGGCTATTAAGTCAGTGAATAAGATAAACAGAAAACTGTTCTCTGTATTACATTGGTTTTATTTATGCATCTTTTGTCATCGCAACAAGATTATCTTCACTGAGAAAGCTAGCTGTCAACTTATTCACTGACATAGACAAATTAAAGGATCTTGAAATTAGATTAGTTCAACACATACCAGTACAGGCGTGGAGCATTTTGCAAAAGAACATTACCACCAGAAACAACCCAATAGAAGCCAACTATCCACCAGAGAAATGATGCCATTGTATTTACAGACTCACATCGTTTAGTCATACTGAAATCCACAAAATTAGTAACAGATCAAGAGTGAATTCATTCCAGAGCAGATACTCTAGCAGCATAGACAACAAAAACTGAGGAGAGTAATAACACAGTCGGAAGTTTATTAGTTCAGATTAGTAGAGACATTTAGCCATCTTAGGAGTGCCATGATTTCAAATTGTGGCAATGGTCAAGATAAGGGTTACTTACTGCCACTATGTTACATGAACTTGGGTACAGGCGTAGGGTGTGGCTATGAGTCTTGAGTGTCTGATTCATCTAATGCCTATGTCCAAGGACATAGGGACGCAACAAAATATTCATATTTCCTATGAAGTTTTTATTTTCTAGGGTGAAATAATGTTCTCAAGGTGTCATAGAGTATTTCATATATAATATGGGGTTTGTTGTATTGTTTTATGATTAACTCAAATTACTAAATATGCTTGCTAAGTGAATGCCCTACTAAACATGTCAGACCATATCTCACATACCTTGCCCAAGTGTTGAATATCTAACATGAGTAATATGTTGTAAAATGAGAAAACCATTAGCAAAGATGTGAATTCTTTTTTTCACATGCAAAAACTGCAAAATTAATCAACGTGGATATTTTGACTAGATTTTAATGGATAGTGGGACATTTCTAGATGCCAAGATATGATTGATTATAAATACTGCAGCCTGAGTCAACATCAACAAGAGTCAAGGGTGAGCAGCAATGGAGGCGATAGGCTAGGCAAGCATGGGTGAGTTCTGTGTCATAAGAGATGAGGGAGACCGGAGCCAGTGTTGCATTATTGGGTATACATATGTATGTGCGTGTATAATGTTAGGAACTAAAAAGCACAAACACAGACATAGATACAGATGTGGACATTAACATAGACATGGGAATTTCAAAAAAATGGGGACACTGATACAGTGAGGACACAACAATAAAAAATATTATATATATGTGGGTGTTTGGGAAGTGGATTTTTTTGTAGGTTTTTATAGTTGTAAGATATTATTGAAGAAAAAAAATTTTGTGTTTGGGAAGATAGTTGGGTTTTTTTGTGGTTGGATGTGATATTTGTGATAGAAAAAGTGAAATGATTATGAGGTTTGACGTGATATTTTGTTTGGATTTGTTTTTTTTTTGTTTTGTAAAACATTTGTCTTGTAGTAAAAAAAATAAAAAAAAAATCCAAAAACCAAGTTCCCAAACACCCCCCATATATATATATATATTATTTTCTATGTAGATCAATATTACATTTATAAGCAATCAAAATTAAGAAAAACTATCACTAATTCAATATAAATAATAAATAAATCTCACTCTTAACTCATATTGTTTATATCTTTTTTATGGTGATCTTTTAATTATTTAAATTTAAACAAAAGGTAATAAACATTCAATATCAAACATCCATCAAATCGGAATTCGTGTCGTGAATCGAAATGGCCTCATATCGAATTGTGAATCAAATCAAATCATGAATCGTAAAGATTCGGTCACTTTTTCTAAATTACTTAAGAACATATATCTATATATTTAGCTATTAAATATATCTTATGAATATGAAATATTTAGACTTAAATCAATGAAATATTATTTTCAATGATAATCACGTAATTTAATAGGTAAGAAGTTAAGAAAGGTTTCTATGTAAGATCACCATCTTACCTTTTTCTTTTTTAGATATTTCTTATCAACCATTCTTAATAAATATAATAACCAAATAGACAAACTATCAATTTCTAAAGTAACAATAATTAAGAACGATATTGATAATTGGACAATAAGTATACATACTTTTCTAAGTAACAGTAAGCAAATTATAAGAAAGAATTATTTAGAATCTTTTATTTTAAAGTCCAAAACATTTTAAAAGGTATGACTGACCTTACACATGTAATATTCAATTTATTAAAATAGCAACAGATAATTCATAATATAACTTTAATCTTAAACATCTTTAGAAGATATATTATAATTTTTTAAAGGGGAAAAAAATGAGAAGAAATGTTAAAAATATGTAAGGACTGACTGAATTTGATTGGATCCTATTAAAAACTCCATGATCACTAAAATAACAACAAATCATGTGTATATGTTGGTTATTTTGGTACTAAACGCTATTAGAAGTTGCATTATGTCATTTTCACTAAAAAGATAAGAGAAGAAAAGAGTCAAAAATATGTTGGACACAATAATTTCAAAAATTGCATGAATCGTAAAAAGTGAATCAAATCGTGAATCGATTGTGAATCGTGCGATTCACTAGAGATTCACTTCTAAAATAGATTCACCTATAGATTCATATCGATTGTGCAAACATTGCGAATCAAATCGTGAATCGAATCACCAATTGTAAGATTCTGATAACAGAGGTTTGATTTGGTTAACCAAAAATAAAATTGTCTTTGACAAGGCAAAAATTAACTAGGGGAAGATTATTTAGTAGGTAAAATTGAGTATGAATTTTCGGGTGAAAATAAAGCACGAAAAATTATCAGTTAATTTAAATGAATTCTTATACAACATTAAAGGGGTTTGATGTTTGAAACTATGGAGGTGATGATATTATTGTTGGAATGACTTTGTGCTTCACTTGATATGGTTATGGGCTTATCTATTTTTGCTCTATTTGATGTGTTGCTACTGTTAGTTACCCTGGTGTGTCTTTGTGAGCTGAGAAATTATGTTGTGTAATTTCTGGTGTACAAGCAGTTGGAATTTATGTGAGATGGTTTGACGTTGATGTTCACTTCCCCAAGGGCAATTTTGTGCTGCTGAATGTTGCTCTTTATTTGATTTGGGCTTGCGTATGGGTGGACTCTTAGTTTCTTCATCTAACTCTTGATAGATGCTGCCTCTGGGTATAATAGAAAAGAGAAAAAGGAATAATGCAAGGGTAAAATAGTCTTTTGACGGCTAGCGTTAACATATGTTGGATTGCAAATCAGTTTAAAATCACAAACATAGGTAAAGTGCTCTAGGCTCAAAGTACAAGAGATAAAGTGAATTTTCCCTTTATTTCACAACATTACAAATTTCTTATTAAAGAAAACATTAATCACTTCATTGAGATTTTGACTTAAAAAGGGTTTCAAAATCATTAAAGTGGGCACAGAAGAATATTTGATACCAAAAGCCAGGCAATTCTTCACCTATCCCAACATGCCTCACGCTCAATATGCCTCATGCTAAACCTTGTCGTCCTCATCCTTACCTACTCAATACAAAGTACAATTGAAAAGTCCAGCCCACACTTCTTAAAATCTAGGTATTAAAGAGAAAAAAACTGGAGCCTTATAACCAGCACAGATGAAGCAATTTCAGGCAATGTAGGACACATTCCAACGCCTCCCCCTAGACCACAACATACAGTAGCTGGACAAACAACACACCAGTCACAAGCCTAACTAAGGCCAAGTTTGGGAAGACTAAATAAGTGCACTTTTTGTCTTTTTAGACTAAAATGTTGAGGTTGAAAATATGAATATTTGGGTTAACTTTTTGACTTTTTATGGAAAAATGTGTAATAAAAAATTGTAAAAATTGATTTGTAAGAGAAAATTAGAATTGGGAGTTGTGCAGCCGTAATTGTTGACTTTTGGTGAATAGTGATAACTTTTTAACTTTTTTGAGTAACTTTTTGGCTTTTTGGCTTTTTGGGGTGTTCCCAAACTTGGCCTAAATTCTGATACCAAAGTGAAAAGTCTAACCCATACTCCTCCTTAAAACCCAGGTATTAAAGAGAGAAACTGGAGCATTATAACTGGCACAAATAAAACAACTCCAGGCGATATGGGACACATTCCAATACGACCTCCTAAACCACAACATACAGTAGTCAGACAAACGGCACACCAATCACAGGCCCAATCAAGCTCTGATACCAAATTGAGAAGTCCAGCCCACATTTCTCCTTAAAGCTCAGGTATTAAGAAGAGAGAAACTAGAGTCTTATAACCAACACAGTTGAGGCAATTCCAGGCGATGGACGACAACATACAGTAGACGGACAGACGGCACACTAATCAAGTTGAATTTTGCAATTGCCGTTGATAGAGTCAAGTAGAGAAGAAGGATTCATGTAGCCGAGCCCATTTGATAGGACTTAAAGCTTGGTTTGGCTTGGCTTGGTTTGGTTTGGTTTGGTTTGGCTTGGTTTGGCATTAAGGTTGACTATAAAGAGACAATAGAGACAAAAATGAGAAAAGAAAGAACACAAAGGTTTAATGTGGTTCAACCAATATTGGCCTACATCCACACACACAAAGCCCTAGAGGGCTACATCTTTCATTCTCTCAACTTAATACTCTTGTTTTTATGATACACCATATATATAGAGTAGGAAATGCAATCAAATCTCTTCAGTTAAAGAATTGAAATAAATCAAAGGTACAAAAAAATCATAATAAGCATAAATCATGAAATCTCAATATATTCTAATATTTTCCATATCTTGTAATGTCTTTGACAATATAATCTTATATCCAACACTCTCCCTCAAGTTGGAACACGGAACGGTTGAAGTAAAGTATCTAACTTGAACTCGAAAATAAAATGATTATTACAAACAATTACAATGAAGTTGCGAAAAGACAACAATTGTCATAACTCCCTTCAATGAACGTAGCAAGGAATCAAGATCTTGCAACAAAGAAATGTGCATTGAATCAATCATGATGGTAGTAAGAGAAACTAACTGAGAGAGAGAAAGCAACAAGGCCAAAGCAGCGGCAAATCACCATAAACAGAAAGGCTGAAAAACGGCATCCCACAAAGAATGCTACCGAACAAACTAGTAACAAATTATAAATAAAAAAGAAACAAATATGTGTTTATCATACCAACATAAGGACCCTAAAAGGGTAGAGAAGTAGCTGAAAAACTCAGTGTATCACAAAATAATGCTATCGAATCCACCGGCAACCCCAAAATAAGTAAAAATCATAAAATTTGCTTATCATATCAGCAAACTAGTGATCAACTCAAGAAAGAGGGAAAAACATCTCGATAACAAAAAATGTGGAATGAGAGAGTTCTCCATAGAGAAACATACCTAGGGTTCAGTAGACTCTGATACCAAGTTGAAAAACCCAGCCCATACTTCTCTTTAAAACCCAAGTATTAAAGAGAGAGGAAAACCGGAGCTTTATAACCAACATAGATGGGAAAACTCCATTGGGACACATTCCAACAAGTACAACATAAGAAATTTTCCTACTTTAACCCAATTTTCTAATTATGGCCCTCTGGCTACTAATATAAGCATTCTCTTCCATATTAATGCACTCATCTCTCCAAATTCATATCTACATCACCGTATTCCTTTAATTTAAGTGCCTTAAATTTTTCAAGACATCTGAATTGGGAATAAGCTAAACAAACACATTAATATAACTTAATACTATAATAAATGTCTATCATAAACTAAAAACACTGGAAAACAAGTGATAAATTTAACCCTGGCTTCAAATTCAGAACTAAAATGGGTTTTATTAGCTGACCTCGCTCGATTAGTAATCCCTAAAGCCCCAACAGTGTCATCATCATCATCAGTCTCATTAGAATCCAAATTCGAATCAGGCCGCACTGCAACAGCCACCGCCGCCTCCTCATCCCGGCGGAACCTCCTCCTGTTCCTCCTGCTATACTCCAACCACACCAGAACCACATGCACCGAACACTGCAAAGCATAGCCACAGATCCAAATCCTAATCGGCACATTAGTCTTCTCACTCATTGAGCAAAACATCACCACCACCGACACCACCACGAACGCCATGTTCCACATCATGTCCAGCGCCACTACCGGCGGAGAATAACCCCAGTCGGCCCGCCGCTCCTCCAGCTGCTGCGCCGCCGTCTCCCTCACCAGCATCGACGCCCCCCTCCGCCCCGTCGCGCGGCCAAGAAGCAGCGCCAGAGTCGTCGGCCTCCCCGCCTCCTGCCTCGGCCGAAGCAGCGGCGCCACCGTGTCAGTCTCCGTCGCCGCCGCAGAGGTCTCCGCCATTGGAAATTGAATTCTAGAGAGAGAAACGCGGAGGAGGTTGAGGTCTAGAGCGAAAACAGATATCTACTACCAGTACCATTTGCACCGAATATCTGTTTCCTGGGTTGAAAGGTAGATGGGAGTGTGGGACGACGTTTCAGATAGAGAATTTAAAGATTCTAAAATTTTGAATGGTTAAATTACACTTTAACCCTGTTTGGTATTTTTAACTTATTTCAGCTTTCAACTTAATTTAAACTATTTTGATGTGTTTGATTTAGTTTAATAATACAGTTTATAACTTTTTGTAAATCAGAAATCAGCTTATTCTTTGAGTGGAGTAGGAGAAGCGTAATTTATAAGTCAAAAATCAACTTATGTTCATAGTTATAAGCTATAAGCTGTTAAAGCATAAGTTATAAGCATTTTCTCACAGTTTTACCAAACAGGGCCTTTGTCCCATTTGATTTTTAAAATTTATTTTTTTTATGTTTAATTTTTTTAAATTAATTTTTATTTAAAATTAGATAAAAAAAAATATTACATTAACTGTCATACACTAACATAAAAATATATAGTGGGAATGTATGGAAACTTGGATTGCGAAGATTTTTTTATTAAAATAGTCAATATAAACAGAATAAATTAAAATAATTAATAAAATAAAATACCACATTTAAATCATAATCATTTTATTTTTTCTTTTATAACTATCAAATCAACTAAAAAAATTAATTATTATTCTAAACACAACTTTTTTAGTCAAATTAAAATAATTAAAAAAATTAAAAAGTTAAATAGTTATATTGATATTTGAATTTGTATAAGATACATTAATTATATATAATATTAAATATTTTTATATCACGAAACTGTCTATGTGTCATTAACTTTTGGAGTAAAATGAAAAAAAAAATTAAAACATAAAGACTAAAGTGAAAAAAAAAAAAAAAAAAAACTTTTAGAGTCATACCAAGAAATAATTAAGGCCAAGTTTGGAAAAACTAAATAAGTGCACTTTTTGACTTTTTATGAAATATAGGTTGGATTTGGGTTGGGTTTGAAGTGATGTGTTAGAGAGGTGATGTGACTTAAATAAGATGATGTGACTTAAATATGATAGTGACTTTTTGACTTTTTAAATTTTTTGAAAGATGCCAAACTTGACCTAAATATAGAATGGGTAAAATGTAATTTACCTTTTTGAATTTATCGGATTTTCTTTCTCGGATAAAACTACACAGTTTCTAGAAAAGGGTGAATTATAGGATGTGATAGTGGGTGTGATGGTTTAGTACATTTTAGGGAGTAGAGAATTGTTGGCCGTTGAATTGTAGGAGTTGTAAGATTAGTGATGATGTGGCATTTAGATGATGTGTAGGAAAAATTATTCATTGTCTCCGGATAAATGTAAGTGTGTCACAATCTAAAAGTTATTGGTTAAAATAGTAATTTTCACTATTTGTTTGTCTTTTTTAGAGAGATAATTAGATATTTGTCTAAATATCAATAGTGTGAAATAATGTGTGTGGGACAGTGAATAATTTCTCAAATGTTTAGAAAGTTTGATAGGATGGGAAAGTGATGCATGGAATAATTTTGATAACTACAAGTCAAGGGGTGAACGTGCCGAGGACCGTGGGAGTTAGGAAAAGAATGAAGGGGGACCGGATGATAAATTGGACTTCACCTCGTATGGATTTATTCTCATTTTGATTGTTATTGATAGAATTATGCAACATATCGTTTAATTTTTTCGTATCATTTTATACTATCTTATTTATTAACCGTAAATTAAATTTTAAAATTTATAATTCGTTTTTAAAATTGTCCCGTTCTATAATAATTAATACATATATATTTTTTGATTTTTAATAAAATATCAAAATAAAAATGAGTTTAAAAGAAATTTAAGATGTAAAATTTATTACAAATTAATAGTTATATATATATAACATATTATATAAAATTAGTTTGTGTTATATATATAAAAATTTTATACAAATTAATGTTATATATTATATAAATGTTTGATAATATTCTTCAATCCGTCAATCCGTCCAAAATCGCTTAACCCGTGATTTATCAATCTGTCAAACCGCCAATCGGTTTATAGTTTTACTTTCAAACTGCCCAAACCGTATTGAGTTGATTAATCGAGATAAGCTCCTTTTATAACTCATCTTTTCATTTTTTTTTTTTATAAGTTTCAATTTGTATTCATATCAATCATTCGAATCGTTCATCTTATAGGTCTTACAATAAAGGTCATTTATGCAAAAAATTAATTTCATCAAAAAATTATAAATATAAAAATAAATCACATTTTATTTTATAAAATGAGTAGTAAACATAATTAAATTTAAACTATCGATTTTATAAAACAAAATGTGATTTGTTCCAATGTTTATAATTGTTCGATGAAGTTGAGTTTTTGCATAGATGACCTTTATTATGGAACTTACGAGATAGACGATTCGAATGATCAATGCAAGTCCAAATTAAAAATCATTATAAAAAAATAAAAAAAGTATGAAGAGATATAGAGAGATAAGGTATAGAAGGGAGCTTAACCCTAATTACTCACGGGTGCTGCTGTTATAAAGACATGTGGATCATTAAGTCCCATAAATGTTTATATTAATTAAAAAGTCATTCTGCATATTAAAAGATTCCTTCCTTCTCTTTCTTTTTTTCCGTTTTTGATAGGAAAACAACCGACAACCACTGATTGGGATTCAACAACCACCGATAGCTTATTGCGGCCACTCCTTCACCTCATTGGCTTTGCCCTCACCTCTTTTGGCATCAGCAAACCCCTCCCTATGTCCTCTTACACTTCCTTCTCTGTTTCCATTGCCAACTGGAGCTCCATCATTATTGTTCTCTATTAGATTTAGGCTAGATCTACTACATATTCGGCCAGATCTAAATAAAAAATGATCGTCGGAGTATAACCCTTTCTCTCTATGTGTATCTCCATCATTCGATCTATCATTTTTTTATTCTTTTTCTCTAGTACGCACTTCTTTTTCCTATTTTAATGAAGAAAATTTTCAAGTTTTAAACAAATATTTTTTCAGTTTTAGTTAAAGATCATGAAAACTAGAAAATTTTATAATTTTTTCTGTTTTAATTGTGTTTTGATAAATTACAAACAAGCAAATTGATAATTTTTACATTTTTTAAACTGCAAATTTATACAGTTCGATGAACAATAAATTCAAACTCCAATTTTACAATTTTGTGAACTAAAAATTATGTTCTCTATATGATAAATTGTTCTTTTTTCGTATTTTGTGGTATTGGAGAGGATGTGATTAAATTTTGCAATATTTTCTCTCTAATTTTTTTTTCTTTCTTCTTCTTTTTTTTCCAGCAATATTTTGGACATTCTAGTGAGCTTCTAACGATGTTCTCGATGTCCGGCGACTTACGGTGACGTTCAAAACATTTCAGCGATTCTCTAGCAACTTTCCAGCGATGTTTTGAAATATTTTGAGTCTCCAGTGACTGTTTGGCAGGAGTTCAACGATGGTCCGACGGTGATGGATGTGGCAGCGATAGTGACAATGGAACATAAGAACTTGTTGGTAACACTCAAAAATGAACATGACTTTTGGTGCACCAAAAAATCATAAGGACTTATTGGTACACAGCCTCCTTAACAAGACTTTTTTTCTAATTTAATTGGACTTTTCAGCCAATGCCTCATTATTATTTTTTCTTTTCTAGTTTAGTCTTTAAATTATTATTATTTTTTTATTTCAATCTTACTATGTTTGATTTTGAATTTTTTAATGGGATTCTTTTATTCAACTCTTTATAAAAGATTTTGTATTAGTTTAAGGACAATTAAATTATATTTGTTAGTTGAAGGATATTAAATTTTTTTAGGACAAAACTACCCTTAGTGTACTTTCATTAGCCCACCAGCTTTTGAATATCTCTTTCACTGTTGATGACTACCTTCAATCAGGAGAAGAGAAAAAAGAGAAGAGAATAGGAAAAAGAGAGAAAAGGCAAGAAAATTCAAAGAGCTAAGGATTTAAGCTTAGAAATTTCAAGAAAATCACTACGAGGTAAGAAACTCGACCCTCTTCCATATTCTCATATCAAAACATAGCCAAAAATTGATTAGGAATACGTTTTGGAAGATTGAAATAAGAAGGAAGTAGGAAAGTTTGGAAGTTAGGGAAGAATTTGAGGAAATGATAGAAAAACTATGTTTTGAACTAATTTTATGTAAGATTTGAGCGAGACAATCATTATGCTATGAACCTACACCTTTTTTTGTGATTAATTAGTTTTAAAACTTGATTTTGAAGGATTGAAATCATTGAATGACATAAAAGGATTTAAAAGGTTAAGAAACTTGAAATAAATTATTTATTGCTTGTTAAATCCTTAAATTCATATATAATACCAAAGTTTTATTACTCTTTCATTATATATATGATTATTAGGATGTTATAGATCAAGATTTGGGATTTGAAAGCTTGAAAATTGGATTTGGAAGTCCTAGAACAGCTTGGAACAAAGTAAACCACGAACTATAGAAATCTGCTCTGTAGATCACCGCTTAAGCGGTGAAAAGACCACTCGAGTGGACCGCCCTGAAACCTGGTTGAGTCAATTAACTGCTCGAGCAGTTGAAGGGTCGCTCGAGCGCATTTTTGCAACTCTCAGAATCTAGTCTTGTAGACCTGAACTTCTAGAAAGATTCATTCACTACTTGAGCGGTGAAGAGACGGCTCGAGCGGACTGGTCATTTTTAGCATAGTTTTGCATCTTGTTTCACTTGATTTCCTACCTTTCTTTGGACACTTTTAAGTGTGTTTTGACATCTAGACACAAAGGTAACATAATTGGAAACCCACTTGAGGCATATTTAAATAGAAAATAAAATTAAAGTTTAATAGCGTGACCAATTGATATAGGAAGATAAGGATTATTCAAATGTTTCAATGTTTTGTTCTTGTCATGTATAGGTCAAGCTTGAGGAGGTTCAAATCCTTATTCACGGAGCTCATAGTGAGTAATAATTTAGTAACGCTATGTTGACAAATTATGTTTTCAATACCAAACTTGATTATGTTTACAAGCTTATTATGTTTTACTATGAATGAACATTCTATAGTTTTG